AGGTCAGGAGATCGAGACCATCCTGGCTGACACGGTGAAACCCCGTCTCTACTAAAAAATACAAAAAACTAGCCGGGCGAGGTGGCGGGCGCCTGTAGTCCCAGCTACTCGGGAGGCTGAGGCAGGAGAATGGCGTGAACCCGGTTGGCGGACCTTGCAGTGAGCTGAGATCTGGCCACTGCACTCCAGCCTGGGCCTCAGAGCGAGACTCTGTCTCAAAAAAAAAAAAAAAAAAAATACATAATCGATATGCAAGTTTATTTATACATCTCTCCATGTCCACTCCATCTGTATCTTGCCGTTCTTGACCTGCATTTCCATCCTCCTTACCTTCCCCAGAGGACAACTCATTTTCTTTGAACAACCTGGCATTTCCCAGAAAAAAAAAAAGTGAAGGGCTGGGAGCTGTCTGTTGTCCTGATTTGCTCCCTCTGCCTTTCCTTCCAACTGTGGTTGGAAAGAAGCACCATTGAAAAATCCCTAAACAACCCCTGCAGGCTCTACCCTGTGGCCGTGGACACATGCTGTTGATACCACCTGTCTCGTGAGTCTCACATAACTTGCCCTTTCACACTATCTACCCCATCAGCCTTACCAAAACCATACCTGCATCCTGGGCAGCATCTGCCCTTCAAGAAACTAAGGAATCTCCTTCCAACCAAGAATGACTAGACCAATGAGACACCCTTTAAGGCCCCAGCACAATATAAAAATCCCATAATATAGTAATCTCAATAAGGAGCTATCAAGCCATTGCAGGACCATCTAGAATACAACTAGAGTATAGTTCCTTTCAATCCAGGAACAATACTCTAACATCTTGGCTCACAGGAAGCAGAAGTGAAGATGATGAGGATCAGGGCTGAGCCTGTGAGCACCAGCTCCACCACTGCCACCAACCACAGATTAAACAAGCATCATGTGGACCCCTGGGATGGAAAGAATAGCTGTTGCCTTATCAGCGTCCCCCACAGCCCACCCAGAAAAGATAAAATCATCATGGCTACAATGTTACAGAAGATGATGGCCCAAGAAGTAGGCCTGCTTAACTGAAACAGAGTGATAAGGGGAGCGGTAGCATCTCAGAGACTACAGCAGAAGCCATCCACATAAAAGAGCTTTGTCCAAACTTATGATAAAGGACACCCTCAGACTCTCCCTACTTTAATACTAGCCCATTTCAGAAATGATGAATGGAAAGAGAAATCTTACGAAGAACCCCTCAAAAGAGCAAAATGTTTTTAGGTTTGTGCTAAAGAGCCTGGAAAAGAAATAAAGACACACACACTGAGAAATCTTCCTCCTGCCCCAACACTGGGAATAATCTCCCAGGATCTCTCCATATCTCATTCTCCTGGATACTCTGTTCACTCAGAAATATTGTGCAGAGTGCAGTAATTCAAAAGTGAACTATTGTGTTAAGAGTGAAGGCAATACAGTAAAATAAATCAATTTGAAAGTAATTCTCTTAAATTGCTTTATAGATGTTTAATGTAAGCTAGTACCTGTTAAATGTAAACCTTAAATTCAGAAAAACTTGGTCATTCAGAAACTATAGAACCAGGCAGGACTTACTGCAAGGGCAAACGCAGAGTGAGCTCCAGCCTGCTTCAAGAAAATCTGCCAATGCCATAAAGGATGTACTCTGTCTGCTCCACTGCACTACTGCTCGGTCTGAGCCTATGCCATCAGCTGTCCCTGACCCACAGGAGTTCTTTACAAGTTCTTTACAAGTTCTTTACAAGAGACTGCAAAATTCATGAAAATTTCTAGGTGTTTTATACCTGCCACCTCGAGGGTTAAAACAATTTGCATAGAAATGTTCAATCAAGAAAGACACAGTCATTACTCAAAGAACAATAAATAGCCTGGCAGCACATGAATGAATAGAAAAAAGATGTTATATGCAAAACATGGAATAACCAAAGTCCATAATGGATGTTAATCTGTAATGTGTTTAGGAGAATTTAGAGGAAGTATGAGATTTATTCTTTCATCAAAAAAAAAATACAGCCAATGAGGGCACATCTATCAATTATCCATCAAGTGGTGATATGGCAGCACAAGGCAAAACACAAAGGAATAAAACCAACATTTATTAAGAACCAATCACGTGGCATTTCCTATTGAGCATCATATTTAATGCTCAAAAAAAGCCTTGTACTGTATCATTCTTCATATTTTATGGATGCAGTAACTAAGGTTGAGAACTTTAAAAATTTTCCTAAGTTCATACACATAGCTAAGTGGCAGAACCAAGATTCAAACTCACCCCATCTAACCGCGGAGCAAACTGCAGGCCTTAAAAGGCAAAGTGAATAATAGCACAGTTAATACATGCTTTGGGAACTCAGAGAAGGGATGATCCCTCTGCATTAGAGTTACTAAGGAATCATTGCCATTATTTAAATGCCAGTGCTTCTACATCAGGCCCAAATTTTCTGTCCTACTAACTGTTAATCAAGACTCAATTCAACCTCTACTTGAGTATCTGCCACGATGAGAAATCACTTACCTCCACTGACCGCACATTTATTTTGTAAAAACAGATTGTTAGTTTTTTCTATACATACTTAACAGCTGCTTCCCAAGATGCTGTAGGATTATGTCTAGAGTTGAACAAGCCAGAAGCAATGTCCAAAATACACCATTACACTGTGCAGCAAAGGTCCCACTACCCCTTGGTTGGCCCCAACATTCTAGGCAGCACTAGACATCTGAATCATCAATTATTTCCACAAACCCTTACCCCTCTGCCACTCGCCCTCACTAGAAGAATTAATTCTACATGATAATAGCTCCCTCATGTTACTCCCTTCTAAGTCAAATTGTACACCCCTTTATCTGATAAACAGAGTCTAAGTCACATGACCTAAATGCAAGAGAAACTGGGAATGGAAGTTTGTGGATTCCACCTTAGTAAGGCAAAAATTATCACTGGGAATTCCTCTAATACAAGAAGGGTGTTCCAGAGACATTAAGGAGCCACATAAATGGAAAATGTCTACTACAATCCATCACTTGGCTGCCCAACATCAACATTCATTCTTTTGCCATACTTAAAGTTTCCAAGAACAAAAATTATCCCACTGAACGTAATCTTTACTATCTTTCATATAAAGGAAAATTAGGCTTGACTCAGCAGAACTGAAATAACCCAGTGTCAACAGTTACTGCTTTTAACTTCAAGTACTGTGAAGTACCTAGAGTACCTAGAGAGGTGATACATGCTCCAACAATAGTTTGATCACATTTTCAATTTGATATTCTCTAGTCTTCCAGCTTGATAACTGTACACTAATCCATAAAGTTCACTACCAACATGCTACATATAAAATAACCAAAGGGGCTTCGAAGAAGAATGAGAAAAAGGAAATATCTTAAAATACACAGGTATACTTATGACAGAGAAAAGAAGAAAATGTGAGCAGATAGTGCAGTCCTCATTTCTGAAATTGGTCCCCTGACTGGGGTTATACCTATTCCATTTCCTCACCCTCAGCCAGGCAGGTGGAACAAAACTTAAGTCTTGGTGGATCTGAATCTTGATGCTGTGGAGCTGTCATACTAGTCCCAGACTACCTACCTCTCAATTTCTCATTATATCAGTGAAAACAAACACCTTTGATTTGTTTAAGCCTCTGCTTTTTTGGTCTAACTGATGTAAGACCACAGGACAAGACTTCTCCAGCTCTGGATTCTCTTCTGTTCTGCTAATGGTGGAATGCCCAGAGTAGGGTTGCCAACTTTAGCAAATAAAAAATACAGGATTCCCAGCTAAATTCAAATTTTAGATAAACAACAATTTTGTAGTATTAGTATGTCTCATTCAATATTTGGACATACTTAACTAAAAAATGATTTGTTGGTCATCTGAAATACAAATTTAACTGGGCATTCTGAATATTCTCTGGCAACACTTGAGAGAGTGAAGAAAGTGGTATAAGGACACCTAAGAAGACCAGATTTGAAAAGACATTAGGAAGGTGTGTAAATGTCTTATTCTAGATAGAGTTAGAGCTATAGGTAGAACTTGGGAAATTAAGTTAAAAGCAACAGAGGGCCTGGCCAATATATACTAAGGAGTGGATCACTCTGGTCACAAGCCCAAACTGAGACCAAGGGCATAGCAAGACGATTTGGAAAAGGCACTTATACACTACACATCCCCATCTTTTGAACTAAATGCCTTGTAAATCTCCAAGAGAAATGACAGTCCACCATGTGGACTGCCTTCTCTAAGTCCAGGGAAAATAACAGGTATGTGCTTGAAACCCACTTCTGATATTATAAGGTGTGTGGTCTTGGTCATGTTAATGTGTCTGAGTCTCAATTCTACAATTGTAAAGTGACAGTAATGGTGTGTCCCCAGCTTGTTGTGGAAAGCTTGATTCTTAATGTGACAGTAGGAAACCCCAACCTCTCTGGAGCAAACACCCTTCTATATCTTGACTTCTCCTCCACATTGGCAGGACTCTATTCCTCTATTTCTCTCTAGTGCTACAGCAGAAAGGGCCCTTGATTTGGAATCAGAAAAACCTAATTCTGAACCATAAGCTATGATAGCTGATTTAAAAATTTGACTATCATGACATGATAATGATCATAACGGTAATACACATTGATAGGGTTGCTATGAAAGTAATAATATATCTAAGAGTTGTGACAATATATGATATGCCTAGACTCTCAGAAAATGCTAATTCCAATCCCAATTGCTCTTTGCATAAATTTCTGTCCTAGGGTCTGTTCCTTTCCCACATCTAGCCTCCTTGGATCGCTCTTCTGCCAAAAACATGTGGTTCAGAGGAGAGAGATCCAGGTCAATGTTTTTCAAATTACAAGGAATTATCCCTTTTAGTGGCATTGTTGCTCAAGTTTTGACATGTAGTGGAATGGAGTGGAGTGGAGTGGAGTGGAATGGAAACTAACAGAGAACATCGCACAAGGTTAAGATAAAGATTGCTTTCTGAAACCTTTGATTTTTGCTTATGTACTCACACATACATATGTGCATACATTGGGACTCTGCAATATGCATTTCTGACTATGGATCATAGCCATAAAAATCTTTGCACTGAACATTCAGTGGGCCTTTCACAAGCTGCCCTAACTGGAAAAGAAAAACATAGTCCCTCCATTTCCTGCCCCCAACTCCAGAAAAAGCACTATGGTTGAGGGTACATCTGAGAAGCCAGCCCTTGGGAGTTCAGGGCTCACGTTCCTCTCTAGAAAAACACAGGGTGATTCTGGGGGAACTTCTGATCATAAACACAGCCAATTCAGAGTGAGAAAAGAAAACATGACCACGCAGTTCCTGTGGTTACCAGTCCTGCCCCTCTCTTGCCTGCTGGGTATTATAAAACCCAAGACTGGAAAGGAAAACCAGCATTTGCTCAGGCAACCTCTCTGGGAAGATGCTGCTTCTTCCTCTCCCCCTGCTGCTCTTTCTCTTGTGCTCCAGAGCTGAAGCTGGTGAGTATCGGGGTTCTTCCCTCTGAAATCTGCAGTATCAGCTCCTGAAACAAATATGTTTAGTCTGAAAATAGCTGACTCTTGAACAGCGTTCCAAGATCTCTCTTCAAGAGTCCCAAAGGGAAATTTCCACTTGGGATGCACGCCAACCCACCCACTGCCATTCTCTACAGCCTAGGACAGCTCCCAGGAACAAGGAATTTTACCTCAATTGTGGAAAAACCCAGAGCAAGTGGAAGGAAAAGGGGTATCCCCAGGAAAACAGACATGTCCTCTTAATCTTCTGAGCATCAGGGCTACCCATTACCTTGTTATTTGCTGACTCTGTGACCATGCTCATGAGCTGTGGAGAAATCTAAAACAGGAACCTGGACAGCCGGTCCTACACAAAGAGAGAGGAGGGTGGGCCAGGGCAAGGTGGGAGTGGGGGAAATCTGAGGTGAAAACATCTGAATGGAGCAGAGGCAGGACCAGCTGTTTCACCTGGAGGAAAGAATAAGATTTCACCTGGAAGGTTATAAGTGGGAAAGATACGAAATATAGGAGACAGGAGAGGGAAGATGGGCAGAACACAGGGTAAGAATGAGATTCTAGGGAAGCCTCGCTCAGCTTTAACCCAATTTGTCCATTCATTGGAGAGAGTATCAATGCCCATGTTTAAACCCTGGGGTGCTCTGTTCCAGGGGAGATCATCGGGGGCACAGAATGCAAGCCACACTCCCGCCCCTACATGGCCTACCTGGAAATTGTCACTTCCAGTGGTCCCTCAAAATTTTGTGGTGGTTTCCTGATAAGACGGAACTTTGTGCTGACAGCTGCTCATTGTGCAGGAAGGTGAGACAACAGGGTTCATTTATCTCCAAATGGGAGGTGAACAACCAGAGTAGCAACCAGGGGTACACCTGCACTGGGGCCTGAAGAGGGGGTCCTGGGTCTGGTCAGCTTTCAGGAGAGGGAACACTTGGGCTGAAAGACTTTAGTCTGTGATTGAATAGCTTCCTTGAGCCTCAGTCACTGTGAGCTAAGCTCCCCTTCGGAGGAGAAGGAGGCCCTGTCCAAGGTCCCTCCTGTAGCAGTAGCACCCCTCACCCCTACCGAACTCAAGGCACACGGTTCACTTTTCAGGGCCCCACCCAGTCTCAGGGCCACTTCCTCTATGGCCTTTTCAAAAACGCTGGCCTCTAGTTCTCAGGGTCCTGAACCCATCATTTTATGGGGGGCAGAGAACAGGGTCCACATGAGACCCTCACTTTCCCCTTTAACTGATATCTCCTGCTTCAGGGGGCTGGCCCTCATCCAGGGTTCCCTGAATCAGGAAGTATGAACCCTGTCCCCTGAGTCCTCCATGGTCTGTTCATTCCCCAGTAATTCCAGGGGTCCTAGAAATCGTGTCTCTTCCCCGAGAAAGCTCTTTCATGAGTAAAACCTGAGCCCCTAAACGCCACAAGTGGCCCATGAAAAGGGAGATGGGTAGAGTCCGGCGACCCAGTGAGAGACTTCAGTCCCCTTTTCTCAGAATGAGCTCACCTCAGGAGAAACCCCAAGCCATGCCTGTCACTCCTTTTCCTTCCTTATTCCTCACAACAGGTCTATAACAGTCACCCTTGGAGCCCATAACATAACAGAGAAAGAAGACACATGGCAGAAGCTTGAGGTTATAAAGCAATTCCGTCATCCAAAATATAACACTTCTACTCTTCACCACGATATCATGTTACTAAAGGTGACAACACCTCTCTTCTCCTTTTCCACTTCCCATTCTCCTAAGCTTCTCCTTCAGGTCCTCATTGCCCTGAATTTTTCTTAGGACTTGACTCTAACATGAAGCTACTCACCCTGTCCCTCCCTGATCACCTCCAACTGTCCAGAACCCATTTCGAGGACTGACAGTCCTTTATTCCCTTCACAGTTGAAGGAGAAAGCCAAACTGACCCTGGCCGTGGGGACACTCCCCTTCCCATCCCAATTCAACTTTGTCCCACCTGGGAGAATGTGCCGGGTGGCTGGCTGGGGAAGAACAGGTGTGTTGAAGCCGGGCTCAGACACTCTGCAAGAGGTGAAGCTGAGACTCATGGATCCCCAGGCCTGCAGCCACTTCAGATACTTTGACCACAATCTTCAGCTGTGTGTGGGCAATCCCAGGAAGACAAAATCTGCATTTAAGGTGATCCTCCAACTAGGTTTCTTCTCCAAAACTCACTGTTCAGGGACCAGAATGCTCTTAGAAGGAGATTGGGTCAGAAGGTTGTCAGCCAGTGACAGAGTTGGCATCACAGGGATTGTCTGTCCTCCCATGGCCCAAGACAGCCTCTGACCATCCATTCCAGTCTACTGCACTGGGGGCATGGGGTGACGTGAAGAATGTAGGTGGCTGTCCCAAGAAAGGAAGAAGGGGCATCAGAACTAGATGTGTAAGTGAGGAGCCCCAGCTCCCGGGTCTGACTTTAGGTCTCACTGTGACTCCAAGCTGGCTGGCAGACAGGAGTGGAGGACTTCCTGGGCTTACCTTCTTCTCTCTCTCTCTCTCCTCCCCCTCCAGGGAGACTCTGGGGGCCCTCTTCTGTGTGCTGGGGTGGCCCAGGGCATCGTATCCTATGGTCGGTTGGATGCAAAGCCCCCTGCTGTCTTCACCCGAATCTCCCATTACCGGCCCTGGATCAACAAGATCCTGCAGGCAAATTAACCCTGGATCCTGAGCCAGCCTTAAAGGGAACCTGGAACTGGACCTGACCAGCAAAGTGTGTGCCACTCATTCTGGCCTGCCCTTGGTCCCTCAGCCACAACCCTGAGCCTCCAGAAGTATCCTACAGGACACAGAACTCTCAATAAACCTCAGTGAAGACACAGCTTCTAGTCATGAGTGTGTGTCCCCTCTCTGCTGCTCTCTTCTCCTTGCACATAGCGACCTGATTCCCAGCCCAAGTACACAAGGATTTGGAAGGGGTGTGTCTGTGTGTGTGTGTGTGTGTGTGTGTGTGTGTGTATGAGAGAGAGAGACAGAAAGAGAAAGAAAGAGAGAGAGAGAGAGAAATAGGAAATAATGAAGAAAAAATTGAGAAAAAAGAAGAGATTTTCCCTGGAAAGGCGGGATCCATATTTCCAGCATAAGAAATGCCACCAAATCCTTCCTTGCCTTAATTATCAACGCTATACCAGTTCTGATTTATCTTTAGTAATATTCAGAATCACTAAGAACATTTTGAATTATAAACAAGATATAAGATGTTTACAGCATCCCTGGCATCTTCCTACTAGATGCCAGTTGCAACACCCCCTTCTCCACTGCAAAGTTGTGAAAACCAAAATGTCTCCAGGCATTGCTAAATATCCCCAGGAGAGGGAGGGAGGAGGAAAGAAAGATCACTCTCTTTCGTTGCTGCTGGTTTAGATACATGATATAAAGAAGGCAGTTGATACCACACAGGGCCCTCCTCATAGCCCACATTGATAAGAAAAGATCTTCCCTCTGTGAAGCTTTCATCTGATATGCAGAGAAGATTGCCTCCCACCCACTTATTGTTACAAAACAGATACTGAGAACAGATTAGAGAGACAGCATCACAAGGTCTGTATGAGCAACACCCATCCACAAATGGCTTCACCCAAACCAGCAGGAAGTCCACAACCTAGAGCCTGCTCAACACAAACCCTTGTCACGGGAGACTGACTGGAGGAGAGAAAACAGGGCAGGATAGGGACAGGACAGCCAGAGCCTGAGGCTGGCAACACCCATCCCTTCTGAGGGTGTGCTGAACACCTTTGGCCAAGTGAACTATTGCTAGGAATTTTCTTTAAGAAAAAATCAAAGACATATACAAAGATTCATTCATAAAAATTTTAATTGCAGCATTTTTAATAGCAAAAATCTGGAATCCCAGACATGGAGGAAAGCTTCTATGACAAACTTGTATGAATGAATATTTTAAATTCATAAGCTTTGTGTTAAAAACATTTAATATGGAAAAATTCAAGAAAATTCAATATATTCAATATAATGTAATGTTTTTACAAAGCAATATGAAAAATCTTCCTATAGTAGAATCTCAGTTTTGTAGCTATATGTTTTATATATGCACAGGAAAAAATTGGAAGTAATTACATCAAAATAATTATGGGGGTTATCTCTACATGATGGGATTAATAGCTATTCTGATTTTGTCTTTATGCTGGCTCCAAGTCCCATCCTTGTATTCTAACTATTGAGGATGCAGCACCACTCATGGCTCCACCAGTGGATAAATGCATATACCTATCTTCAGAATCCTATTGGTCAGGGTTTTCTGCATGGGAACAAAGCATCCTTCCATTTCCAGGTGCGTCACTCAGCCCATTCAGGAAGCTACCACAGAAGCTAAGTCCTACAGGTTCCCTCAGGTTAATGAGTAGTCTTTTCTGGTAATTGGTGTCAATGGTCAATTGCAATCTCCTGAAAATCCCCACTGCCACAGTTGGTCCTAGAGTCCTAATTGATATTTTGCATCTCACTTCCACCACCCACTCTAGGTGCCCCCTCACAATCATCTAGCAGTTTAGTAAGTCTGAGCTGTAGTCTGATGGAGTGATCCAGAGCTCCACCCTGAGGGGACTGAGTTGTTAGTTGCTTTGCACTTGTTAGGTTTGGGTTGTTGTAACTGCCCATTTACAATTCAGTGAGCACAAAAGTATAGGGGATACTTCCAGGGAATCCCCTCGGTTGCAGTCATACTCTTATCTTCTCCCATTGCATTGCAGCGACCCTAGCTTCTCATGGTAATTAAGGCCAATTATTCTAGCCATAAGGCAACTCTTTCCTTTGCCTGCTGGTCCACTGTTATGAGGAGTCCCAGATGACTGAGTGAGTCACAACTTCCAGTTCACTGGAGCCTTTCCCACCTGCACTGGAAAAAGCATTTTCTTCCTGGAAACTTAGACCTCTAAACTGGCAGAATTTGAGTTTGCAGGAACAGGAAGATACAAAGTCCACAAGTAAGTCCCTGGGAGTGATAACTAAAGGGATCAATTCTACTTCTATCCCTTGGTTCCTGGACTCATATATTCTAGCTATGTGGGACACTGAACCATAAATTGGTTATTGATTCAGCATATGTATCACATCCTGGAAAGCAGTGCTCCAACTTCCAACCCTACAGGGTGTCATCTCTGAGCTGGCACCTTAGCTGAGCTTTCAACAGGCCAGCTCATAATTCCACTAGGTTGACTGCTTCTGGGTGGCATGGTATATATTAAGACCAATGAGCCCATCATTTTACATTATTTGCCATAAAAGGAGTCCCTTGCTCTGAGGTAACATGTGTGAGAACCAGGTTGATGGATTGGGAAATCTGTAAGCCCTCATATGGTGGTAGTGGCAGAGGGATTTCACACAGAGAAGGAAAACTCATGTCTAGAGCAGGTATCAATGGTGATAAAGATGAATGTCCATTGCCTCCAAAGTAGAGGGGTCAACCTCTCACTGGAGAGCCACCTGATCTCTCCAAAAGCGGTGCCATCTCAAAGACTCAGCGATAGTCTCTGCTGCTGGCAAGTTAGGTGATTAATAGTGGCAAGACTCGAATTGATTTTGGCGAAAGAGAGTGTCCATGTTCTTGGACCCATGAATAGCCTCCATTCAATCTCCATGACCACTCTACTCTGATCATTGCCCATTGTTCCAGCAGCAAGGTGATCAAGAAGAGAATGTGGCTGACATCCACAAGCCATATCACCTCTTTACCTGCTTGGGAGTCTCTGTGAGTCCATGTGGTCTGGTGCTCAGGCACAGCAACTTCTCCTTAGCAGACAGCACTGTGTAAGTGGAGTTCTCAGTCTGTGGTGGCAGCAGCAGTGGCAGCAATGAGCAGCGATTTATGACCATGAGAACAGAGTGAGTTGTCACTAGAGTCACTCCAATCTAAAAGCAAAGCAAGCAGTCAACGCAAGTGGAATCCAGGGGAGCTGGGGTGGTGTATAAACTGGACCAGGTGCACTGGTCCTTACCTAGAGATGTAGTTGAGACCCTCCAAAAACAAGCTCACCTTTATTCTGCTGATAATTAGATCATTCTGAGCAAAGTATATTATCAAACAGTGGACCTAATTATGCATATAAATGTCATCTATTAGAGTGAGTGAAGGAGGGGGTTGAGGAGGTAACACCAATGGTGGATGAGAAAATAAAAGCTGCCCACCTGAAAGCCAGAAACAAGTGAATCTGAATAGTGCAAGGAATGGATTTTAGTAGACATTGTTGATGCCCTTTCCAGGACCTATTAAGCAGGTGATGCACCCATTCCCCAGCTGTTGTGAGTGATAGCCATCAGCCAATATCCATGTCCATGAGTTCATATATATCCTTTCCCTGAGCCACTTCTCTCCACACAAAATAGATGCCCAAATTGATTTTTGACATGGCTGCCAAGGACACATAATAGGGCAAGGACAGTCTATTCAATAGATGGTGTTGGGAAAACTGGATGTCCACATTCAAAAGAATGAAATTAGACCCTTGTCTCACACCATATACAAAAATAAACTCAAAATGGATTAAAGACTTAAATATAAATCCCGAAATTGTAAAACTACTAGGAGAAAACATAGGGGAAAACTCCATGACATTGCTCTGGGCAATAAATTTTTGGATATTTCCCAAAAACACAGGCAACAAAGCAAAAATAGACAAATGGGATTGCATCTAACTAAAAGTCTTCTGCACAACCAAGGAAACAATCAACAGAGTAAAGAAACAATCAATAGAATGGGAGAAAATATTTGCAAATCACACATCTAATAAGGGGTGAATATTCAAAATAAATAAAGAAGTCATCTCAATAGCAAGAAAGCAAATAACCCAATTTTGAAATGGGCAAAGAACCTAATGACATCTCTCAAAAAAAGAAATACAAATAGCCAATAGGTATATGAAAATATGCTCAACATCACTGATCACCATGGAAATGCAAATTAAGCCACAATGAGATACCACCTATTAAAATGGCAATTATCAAAAAATAAAAGATAACTGATAAAGAAGATGTAGAGAAAAGAGAACACTTGTACACTGTTGATGGCAATGTAAATTAGTATAGCCATTATGAAAAAAAATATGGAGCTTTACCCAAAAATTAAAAATACAATTGCCATATGATCAAGCAATCCCATTACTGGATATATATTTAAAGGAACTGAAATCAGTATGTCCAAGAGATATCTGCACTCCCATGCTTATTCATAATAACTAAGATATGGAATCAACCTAGGTGTCCATCACTGGATGAATGGATAAAGAATACATACATACATACACACACACACACACACACACACAGAGTGGAATACTATTATCCATCCTTAAAAAGAAGAAATGGTGTCATTTGCAACAACATGGATGAACCAGGAGGACATTATGCTAAGTGAAATAAACCAGGCACAGAAAGAGAAATACTGCATAATCTCGGTCATATACTCTTAAAAGCCAAACTCATAGAAATAAGTAGAATGGTGGTTACCACAGCCTGGGGTAGGGGAGAGGTACAGGAGCTTCCTGGTTCTGAAGTCCTTCTACTGCTGTCACAACCATCCTACTCCAAAGGCACAAACATCAAGGGGCCTCCAACAGCTCTCCCTGCTTGCCTCAGAGCTTGGGAATCCCAACTCCAAATCTAGTTATAAGTGCAATATAGTGTGAATTGAAGAAAAAAGAATCTTCAAAAATGTACATATACTTTGATTGCAACAGTATGGAAAACTATACATTTTAGGGAAAAGTGGAAAGTATCCTTCAAATATAGAGGTAGTTTTCTCAGAATTGTAACTTAAAGGATGGCTTATTTATTTATTTATTCTTATTTTTATTTTTTATTCTCC